GCTCCTCCTTCTCGGAATAGGTCTGTTATTTGTTTTGGGCCCTCTTGGGGCCATCCTGAGGCATCAGAGCCTCAGAGGCCAAGCATTTTAGAAGGGGAACGGCGAGGAGGCTCACATCTTTGAAACAGGATTATGGTTTTCCTGGATCTGACATTCCGGAGGCGTTCTTGGGAGGCTCCGTGGCCACACCGAGCTACCTAAGGGACATTTTGGGCCTCTCGGAGTTACATGGGAGGCCCACTGGGTCAACCTTGGCCATCTTGCGCGACCCTGGAGGCCATCTTGGGCTATCTGGGGCCAACCTGGAGCCATCTAGGGCTATCCTGGTGCCCCTCTTGCCGCCACCTCTCTGCCAGACCCCTGGGGAGGGGGTAGGGGGAACACATTGAGGGAATGCCCCGAGGAGGGCATCTTTATGTAATGCGTTGCTCGTCCGCCGTCTTGGCTCCAGGCGGCGCCGCGCAAGCTGCCCACGTCACCTGCGGCGTACCAGTTGCGGCCGTGAGATGGATCTGCAGATGCAGGAGGGCTTGCCTTAGGGGGGGCCCAACGCCCGGCGGGCGGGCGGCATGGGGCTCGTCGTGCTTCTGACGCCGTGCGTGCCAACTGTGCGTGCGAGGCTGCGCGTGCCTGCGGCTGCCGGTGTTGTCGTGTGCGCTCCCCGCCCCGCCCCCCCCCCCCACGCCGAAGGTGGAGCGCGCCGAGCCGTACGTGCTGTTCTACCAGCGCGTGCCCTCTAGGGGCAACAAGCTGGAGCGGCGGGGGCGGTCATCGCTGACGAGGGGGGTTCCGTGACTCAGAGAATGGGCGGGTGCGCGTGTGGGCGGGATGTGGAACGGAGAGGCGAAGGAGGAGGAGGAGGAGGGAGAAATGGGGGACTAGTGAGAAGGAGGAAGAGTATGATGATGATGATGATGATGATGATGATGTTGATGCTGCTGCTGCTGTTGCTGATGACGATGAAGCTGATGAGGGTGATGAGGGTGATGATGCTGATGACTATGATGATGCTGATGCTGATGCTGCTGCTGCTGATGATGCTGACCATGCTGACGATGATGCTGACGATGCTGATGATGCTGATTATGCTGATGCTAATGCTGATGCTGCTGCTGCTGATGATGCTGATGATGCTGCTGCTGATGATGATGATGATGAGATGATGATGATGATGATGATGATGATGATGATGATGATGATGATGATGATGATGATGATGCTGATGATGATGATGATGATGCTGATGCTGATGATGATGATGCTGATGCTGATGCTGATGATGATGATGATGATGATGCTGATGATGATGATGATGATGATGATGTTGATGATGATGATGATGATGGTGATGCTGATGATGCTGCTGCTGATGATGCTGATGATGATGATGATGATGCTGCTGAGGATGATGATGATACGATGATGCGATGATGATGAGGAGGATGAGGATGAGGATGAGGATGAGGATGAGGATGAGGATGAGGATGGGCGTTAGGGCGTTGGGGCCTTAGACATGTGTCTCTCGCATCCTGCGACCCGATTACTTAGTAATCAGGGTATTCAGGCTAATCACTCCCACCAGCCAAGAGTCGAGCCTCGCCTTCAAGAGCCCTCTCTGCACGGCAAAACATAACCGCCCCACGGGGGTCACCAAAGCCGTGCAGCTGGGCCACACGATACATGTCGAGGGCCTCGGGGCAATCCAACCCATACTCAGGGACAGGGTCAGCACACAGGCCTCCGAAGGTAACAGCCTCCCTTCCCACGACGCTCGGACCTCCACAGACGGCTCAACACACACGCCGAGCATCGGAGGAGGGGACACCGTCGACTTAGGGTGCAGACTTCGCCGAAATCTGGAGCGCTCGGTCGCAAGACCTGGGTGCTTCGGACCAAACCATGGCCCTGCAAGTTCTTTCCCAGGCCTGTGACTATGCTGCACGCTCGCGCCGCACGAGATGCAACGCAAAACTGGGACCCCCGACTCATCTCCAACCACGGGAGCCTGGACCACATTATGCATGGAAAACTTCCAGGTCTGGCAGCTCACCCGCAGAAACCCCGAGGCTCGGGGCAACAGGTCGGGAGGAGAAGCCGAGGAGCCGATGGAGGAGCCGAGAGCAGCGGAGCCCGAGCTAGCCGAGCCTTGACCACACTCGGGATAGAGCCGCTCGGGCACAGCCTCGAAGAGCCGCTCTCTGTGGCGCTGCTCTAGCCGCGCGTCATACTCATCGGCGAGGTCCGGCGGAACTTGCCATGGCAGGTCGAGCTCCACCTCCGCAGTCCAACCCACCCCCTCCGAAATGAGGATGAGGATGAGGAGGAGGAGGAGAAGGAGGAGGAGAAGGAGGAGGAGCAGGAGGACGAGGGGAGGAGGAGGATGATGATGAGGAGGATCATGATGCGGATGAGGATGATGCTGATGATGAGGATGGGGATGTGGATGATAATGCTGATGATGACGATGATGATGACGATGATGCTGACGATGATGATGCTGGTGATGATGATGCTGATGATGCTGATGTTGGTAAGGATGACGCTGATGATGCTGCTGCTGATGATGATGCTGATGAGTATGATGATTGTGATGGTGATGCAGATGATGTTGATGATGGTTATGATGATGCTGATTGTACTGATCATGACGATGCTGGCTATGCTGATACTGCTGATGATGCTTATGCTGATGCTGCGGATTATGGTGATGCTGATGATGCTGATGTATGATGGTGGTGATGATGATGTTGATGCTGGTGATGATGATGATGATGGTGACGATACTGACGATGATGATGATGTTGATGGTGATGGTGATGATGAGGAAACTGATGCTGACGATGTTGAGACTGATGATGCTGACGATGATGATGCTGATGATGATGATGTTGCTGCTGATGCCGATGCTGATGTTGCTGATGTGGCTGCTGATGATCATGCTGCTGATGCTGACGATGCTGACGCTGATGATGATGATGCTGATGATGCTGACGGTGCTGCTGCTGATGATGATGATGCTGATGATGATGGTGACGACGCTGACGATGATGCTGTTGATGGGAATGAGGAGACTGCGGATGATGATGATGATGATGATGATGATGATGATGATGATGATGATGATGATGATGATGATGATGATGATGATGATGATGATGATGATGATGATGATGATGATGATGCTGTTGATGCTGCCGATGATGATGATGACGATGGTGACGACGCTGACGATGATGATGTTGATGATAGTGAGGATACTGATGATGATGTTGATGCTGACGACGATGTTGCTGATGACGATGATGCGGATGCTGATGATGATTCTGATTTTCCTCGACGTCAGGACCAACATCTGATATCAGGATATGGTGTACAATGAAACCAGATTTAAAGTGATCCGTCGCAGAGAGCCGACTGTCTCGTGTTGCCCCGCTTGGGCCAGACTGCCAGGGTGCTGCTCGGAGGGGCCTCCTGCGCAGCGCGTGCCAAGCAGCGTCGAAATGCTAGCTGAGATATTCGGCCGCTTCTTCTTCGGCGGTTGTATCATGCTCAGGTGGGGCCTCCCCCTCACACTGCTCCTCTGGATGTGCTGGCACGGCAGGGGGGGAGTGGAGGCACGACGGAGGAGGGAGGGCATGTGGCCGGCCGTGACCGTGCCGCTGCTGGCAGGGAGGTCTTTGCCTCGAACGAAATTGACGCGGCGTTGAAACGCCTCCTCTCCGCTGTGGCCTGCATTGTGGCCTGCAGGCTCGCTCTGGCAGAAAAAGACGGGTTCACTGCTCGAGCGTCTCTAGCCTCCTCCTCGAGCCAGCCCACTGGGCCCACGTCTCGGTGGTGGACCGCCTGGCCCTCGGCCTCGAGGGCGCGGCTGATCAGGATTTGGCCCTCCCACATGGGCGCGCCTAGCGCGCCGATCACCAGCTTCGTCTTGTCGTGGTCGTAGCACTTTTCCAGGCGCACGAAGTTGATGGCGTCGAGGATATCTTCCTTGCTGATCTCCGTCTCCGCCTCGATGTCCTCGATGGCACCCTTCATGGAGCCGCCCACGTCGCACTTGTACAGTCCTTCTAGGGCCGTCAGCGCGCGGGACGGAGCTGGCGACCCTATCCCCTGCAGGCATTTTTTGTCCTCTGGGGGGCCGCTCTTTCTGAGGGAGTCCATACTGTGCTCGTAGCTTTCGTGCTCCTGCGTGATGGCATCTACCTGCTTGCCATGCTCGTCGTAAATGTCTAACTGCATGATTTTGATGTTCCGTTAGGCCTTCTTCGTAGCCCCGTGAATGCCCAGTGAGGCCAGGGTGTCCTGCTTACCGATGTTCTGTGCGTATTGAGTTCCATTCTGTATGAGTCCTATCCTCAGATACAATCGCCGTAAATGGTCGAAACAGTGAGATAAACGTACGCATGCATGAATGTCCTTAATCACATTGCCAGTGGGGCTTTTTCCTTTTTTGCCGATGTCGAAAGTCTGGATGATGGTGGAGCTGACGTCGTGATCGATCTCGAGCTTCCGTCGACTGGGGTGATAGACTCGCTCAGCGAGCGGGTCCGCGTATTGATAATCTGCCGTGTCATGTCCCATTCCTGCCCTTTGAACGCCAGTGCGCATCAGGTGCTGTAGGGTGAGGAGCATGATGGTGAGTTCGATGGGCCTTGAAGAGAAGTATGTGGGTCGTCGGACTGGAAATTGATGATCAGGGCGCTCGTCACCAGGGTCACGTTCATGTCGACCTTTAAGTCCAGGTGGCAATTCAAGTCCAGCGTGCAGTTGTTCCACTGGTGGCGGTTCAGGTGCAGCGTGGTGTAGTCCTGCACGTACTGGCCCTCTGTGTTCGTGAAGACGTTGAAATTGAAGTTCATCGTCCAGTCGTCCAGGGTCAGCGTGTCGTACTCCTGCATGTGCTGGCCCTCTATGTCCGTGAAAAAGTTGGAATTGACGCTCAGCGTCCAGTAGTCCTTCGCGAGCTGGGTGTGTAGGTAGTGGTCCAGCGTCCAGTAGTTCGGGGTCAGCGTGTCGTAATCCTTCATGTGCTGGCCCTCTGTGTTCATGGAGATGTAGCTCAGCGTCCAGTCCCGCACGTACTGGCCCTCTGTGTTCGTGAAGATGTTGAAATTGACGTTCAGCGTCCAGTCGTTCAGGGTCCGCGTGTCGTAATCCTGCATGTGCTGGCCCTGTATGTTCGTGATGATGTTGGGATTGATGCTCAGCGTCCAGTAGTCCTTCGCAGTGTGGGTGTGGGGGTAGTAGTCAAGTGGCAAGTCACGTTCAGCGTGCAATTGTTCCACTGGTGGCAATTCATGGGCCGCATGGTGTGGTCCTGCCTGTGCTGGCCCTCTGTATTCGTGAGGATGTTGTTGTTGAAGCTCAGCGTCCAGTAGTTCAGGGTCAGCGTGTCGTAATACTTCAGCATCGGCATCGTCGTCTGGCTGGTGGTCAGGTGCTTGGGCCATGCGCTCGTCCATGTTCCTGATGTCAGCGAGCGAGTCCTGTGCTCAGCAGGTGCGCGGCGCCCGCGCTCCGGAGCACGTCCATGGCGGCATGGCGGTGTGCGGGGTATCGTCAAGAGGCCCCCTGCCTTTCGGGCAGGGCGAGGGGGCGGTGACTGGAGGCCGCTGCTCCATCAATGGCCTGAGCGCGCGGCGGCCTTTGATGATGCTGATGGTGATGATGATGATGATGGTCTGATGATGATGAGAATGATGATGATGATGATGATGATGATGATGATGATGATGATGATGATGATGATGATGATGATGATGATGATGATGATGATGATGATGATGAGATGATGA